AACACTAGCCTTGATCTTTGTCAGGGCTGGCAAGACCAAAGGCAGACAGGCTAGGGCAAGCAAAGTTAGTTACAGAAGGTCCATCGTTGAATAGGGAACGGACGTACCGCACATGATGCCAACGTTTGCTTCAGCAACAGACAATACCGCAAGCGGGACAGAACTCCAGGTCTTGTCAACTCGTGGAGAACTTTGTCGCAAAATGACATGGAATCGCACAGCTGATACAATTAGAATACTGTCACTTTATTAGCCTTTACAACTAAGCAGCAACAGCGCCTAACATGAGCGCAGCTGCGGACGTCGGATCTCGTTTAATACTCACAATGAGCCAAGGAAAAACAAGCCATCTACCCCCAGCTTTTTTGACATAGGCAAGTCGAGGGGAACGATGTACGGTACTGGGAGTACAAGGATTACTGCGTCCGTAATCATAGTGGGAATCGCGTTCGCATAAAGAAATTGATGCTCCGGCATGCGAATGCGACAATGGTAACGATCGGGAGATAAAGGATAATCTGGGTCGTACTGAGCCCAGCGAGCGTATACCGGGTGACACTGCAAAAGACGAATGAGAAGCTGTAGGCCAGTTATGCGTCAGCATGCGTGCTTGCAACCTGCTGCCCATAACCACGTACGAATGACATGCCCCATAAGAACATGGCGATTGTAATAATCCAAATAGGGATCTTAATGGATCGTCGAAAGTGAAATAAGCGCCAATATAGCGCAAGAATAGACCATTTGAAGCAAACGACGGTAAAAACGTAGCCAAGCATAGATATGAAATGCGCTAGAGTCCAAGCGTACAACGAGTCTCGAGGCGCAACCCAGATGTGTTTGCCGAAACCATGGCTGACACCTGGCGAGGTGTGAATATTATTTCTAGGTCATGAGACAACGCAGTAGGCACGTAGAACACTGACCGTATCCAGCTATGGCGAAGACTTGGGTACAGGAGAAGGGCTACAATCGTCTCATAAGCATTGAGATACTTGCGGAAGCTTGATCTTGAAACGGTGGACGCGGGCGACAAGTGAAGGGCAGCCTACCACGGAAGCGAGTATGATCCAGTCATCCAGCCAGAGCTTTGTGCCCTTGATCTTCCGGCTTGCAATCCGAAGGACGATACAAAGCATGGCTAGAAGCCATGTTACGAGTGAAATAGAAATAACTGTGGCTTGCCTATTCTCGTCCAGGTCCGTTCCGAGAGGAGGCGGCGGTAGGTGGGCGGGGTCGAATGGTGTTCCAATGGACGCATTTCTGGACGAATCACTGGGCATATTCCTTGGCTGATGATGAGCACGATCGCGATAGACGTACAAGGCAACCTTCGCGTATTCAAGGTATATAATATATACCAAGATTTAACTCCGACTCTTGGGTCAGACCACCTTTATAGCTGCCAGTCATTGCAAAGGTTGCCAGCGTGCACATGATCAAAGCACACACCGTGGGGAAGTTTACAGGGCTAGTCTTTTGTTCTACTATTTGGCAGTTGTCATGCCATTTGTCGCCACGGTCCAGAGCTGACAATACAGATGGGATGTTTTAGTGGAGAATATTGTGGCTGCTCCCCCTAAACGGCTACTGGGCGGCGCGTCAGGCGCCACGGTGTCTCTGGAGCTGGTGCGCCGTACGCTAACTCGACGCAGCCACAGCGCACTAAAGCGCAGGGCTTTTGCCAGGCTCACTGCCGGCATCCTCTCGCGGCACCTCGCCGCGGTTGTTTTAGCCCTTCTATCTTCGTCCCGCTAGGTTGGTCATCACCCGGGCACTCATCGTCGTTATCACTCGCGCCCCTGCTGGATGCTGGCAGCGTAGTTCCGCCATAAATTTGATGCTTTGTGACTCAACTGAAAGGCCCTACCGCATGGAGCGTGCTGGCCGTTAACGCTTCGGCGATTGACTGCAAGCAGGGCCCAATATTCAGCCGAAGTCCCTGTACAGCATGCTCAATCGCATCCACTTCATGTCGCGCAGCTTCGGCTTCTGATGCCTCCCGCTCTACGCTCTGAGTCGGTGACAGATCAAAGAGTTCGGGGAAACGAATCTCGGCCTTGAGAGTAGACTCAAAGACCTCATCACACAAAAGCGCGCGGGCCGAGTTGCAGACACCATCGAAGTTGTGTTCACGAATCAAATCTGCAACGCCTTCCTGACTGCTGATGAAACAGATCCATTGGCTCGGGCCTGGTTCTAGGGGACTTCCACATCCAGGCACAGTACTCCAGGTGTCAGCGGAGAATGAACCGGACCCAGCGTTGCTTAATGCAAGATCGTCCAAGGGAACGCGCCATGCCTACGATGGCCTTTCCCAAGCGAGGTTGAATCTTGAGAGTGTCCCAACAGTTTGGGAAATCCGTGATCTGAGGTCGACTATGTCTGGCGGCGATCATACCTGGACCGTAAACGGGAACTGCTTGGTGTGCGGTTCTATCATCCTGTAGATCCCCAACCACTCGTTCGGTCGCCAACTACTCTGGTCATAGCTGCTAACCTGCACCCTCAGAAGGCTTTGCGAACCGAAACTTACAAAAACAGTGCTAGTGAACAAGTTGTCGATGACGAAGCTGTCACTTTCTGGCTGCGCTGAAGCACGCAGACGGCGGCATTAAGCTTGTCTCTGAGCACCCACCCCCCGACTGCACCTCGATAATTCTTGTTGTACAGACACTTAAAAAACATTCTATAATCGCATCGCGTATGTACAGTACATTCCTCGCTCACCTGCTCGTGTGATGTATGGTTAAAGCTTGCTGGCCATGATGGAAGTCGTTGCAGAGAACATAATTCCGCCTATGCCGTTCGCCGAGAGACACCTGCGGATATATCAAAGTCTGGGAGAAAGCAGGACGGAAGGGCGAATACGACTCGGATTTCCAATGTCACAAAGGTGGCAAAGCATCGCCGAGCTCTGACGCAGTCATGCAGGTCACGCCGCCATAATAGACTCGCGCCGGCAGATCAGTGCTGTTCGTGCGATAATACTTGCTAAGATTCTGTTGATAGGATTGTGCTGAAGTTGTGTGTAACAGGCCCGCGGTCCTGTCGTGCTGTGGGTTTGTGTCCAGACAGGCGCTGCTGCATGTGGTCCATGTTCTCCCGGGACTGGATGCTTCCACTCCGCAACATGCGCCAATGTCGGAGCTGACCTCACATGTAGAAGTTCGGCCAGGTCCAGGACATGCCTGCACGCGAAGCACCGGCCATGTTAGGCAGATGATGTGCTGCCTCTAATGGGTCCTCGACACGCGTGCTGGCGGGGGGGCATACGGCGCACTAAACAGGCGCTTGTCACCCGCTGAAGCTCACGGGCCACAGCCCAAGGCGCACGAAGTGGCTTGGACCCGCATCTCCCGGGCAACGCAACGTTTTCCCTTCCACGCAACATTTTCCCTTCCGTGCAACGCTCCCCCTTCCGCGCAACCCTCCCCTTCCACGCAACGCTCCCCCTTCCACGCAACATTTTCCCTTCCACGCAACGCTTTCCCTTCCGCGCAACATTTTCCCTTCCGCGCAACGTTTCCCCTTCCACGCAACATTCTCCCTTCCGCGCAACGCTCCCCCTTCCGCGCAACATTTTCCCTTCCGCGCAACGTTTCCCCTTCCACGCAACGTTTTCCCTTCCGCGCCACGCCCACGCAACGCTCATTCAAGCCCACGTAATCTCAAACCCCTCGCGCGACCAGCGACGCCGTCCAGGACTTGCGAGCCTCCTCCTGACCAAGCATACGAGATCGGAGCTTGCTATCATGGAACCCGTGCTCTGCAGTTGTGGGCAACTCTACACAGCAAGTGGCCACAGAAGTCATCGGAAGAAGGCACACGTTCGTTGCTGCGAAACTATCTTCGTTGGCGAGGCGTGGCTGAAACGCCACAACACAACAGGCCATAACCGTGAAAAAGTGAGCACGTGGACAAAGAGACAGGCTCGTTATCATGAGAAGGTAGAGTGCGAGCTCGGGTGCGGGTTGGCTCTCCAACGTGACAGGATGAAAAGGCATCACAAATCAGAGCACTATAGATGCACCGAGTGCGATCGAATATTCATCTCCACCGGCAAGAAAGAGCACGAGCACAGCGCTAAGCACGTTTCTTACATGCTGGTTCCTTCACTTGACGCGGAGCACGCAGGTGCTGCTGCGGCGGCATCGACACAGAGGACATACGAGCCCAGAATGCCTCGCGAGAGCATTGAGACTGTCCAAATGCGCACCAAGTATGGTTCCATGATTCAAGATTTGCTTCGAGAATGCCGGAACTCGAAAAATTCTCAACTCGGCCATACAAGGTGGGATGATAGCTTGACACTCCTAAACCGGATCTTCCCTTCTGATCGCGACATACCGATCGCGCGAATCGGGCCCATATCAACAATGGCAGACGACGCAGACGTCTGGTACACTACAGAAGACGACATAGAGAAAATCATGGCCCAAAACTTCATCTTGCACAAACCCACGGTGGTGAGATCACGTCAATTAGGACAACGAGGCCAGGGACTGGATCATTTCTTAGAGGCTCTGAACGATCATTTTGGCGATAGGTGGACGTACAAGACCCAAGTACTAAAAAGAAAGCCGCCGTCTCCTCGCCTGTCTGCGACGTTATTGACCGAATTAGAGAAGGGGCGGACATTCCGGCAGGGCGACTTCCGATAAACCTGCTGAACTTGAAGTATCTGGGGATAAGTCCCACCGGCTCCTGCATTCCTCAATCTGCGTCGGTTCGATGTCCTTCCGGCAATCAGCTCACGTCTAGAGGCGGAGTTTACCGGACGAGCGATCGCCGGCAAACGGGGCCACGCCGTGATGGTCGAGGCCAGAGAAGTCGACCTGGATCGCTCCTTGACCCTTTCGCTATTCGCCCAGCGAGGTGCTTTTACCGGATTCCACGTCGATAGCCCAGATGCAACATGGGTATGTCTTGAGTGGGTCCTGAAGCTTTGGATTTTCGCTACAGACACGAACGAATCCGAGATGGTCAAGTTCACAGATGAACGCGACAATTGGGTTCCCGATAGCGTTGTCGCTATTGTGTTGGAGCCGGGTGATACGCTCATCATGCCCTCCGCACAGCTCCTTCCTCATGCTGTATTCACGTTGGCAGACTCACGGATGACGGGTGGTATGTTCATGGACGCAGTTCGCATTCTAGAGTCGATTGAGAAGCTCCTGTGGATATATATACGCCCGTCTGTCTCGAATGAACCGATACCGTTGCAGCTCCTCAGAGGATGGAGCCACCTGTGCAAGCTTTTTTTATGACAGAAACCAGTCTACAACTGACCGGGCCAGGTTCGAAAAGATCACGGGGCTACTGCGCGAGAACTTGAGCTGTCAATGTACGGGCACTTGCGGGAAGTCATGTTAGACTTGCAGATGCTCGTCGTCAGTGGCGCAGGACCAAAGATGCACCCCTTGGTGCCATGCCGCATCCACAAGGAAAAAACGCAGAGCCTCCAAACGCACAGGCGCAGTATCCGGCTGAGTCCGGCGTTGTGCTGATGCATAAGGGAGTTCGATTTCCCTCGAGCCGTCAATGCGCCATGTCACTGCCTAGCGGCCGGGTCAACGGTACTCTGGGAGCTGCAAGGGCTCAGCTAAGGCGACCATTAGGGGATCCTTGTCGCAAAATAGCAAACACCAGATACGACTGGCCCAGGTCAAAGAGACTCCTTGCAGACACGAATCGTTAATCTCATCTTAATAAAGAGACGAGCAAGAAATACTTTCGTGCATAGTCCAGGGATTCAGATACCCCAGCAGCTGGATCACAGCGGCGCATACCGGCAGACATTGAAGATCACATGGGAGCCCAATAGATCGAATGTGCCAGGCTATCGACTCTCGATAAACTTTATTGTATCTTCAGAACCACATTGCGCAGAACAATTCCAGTAAACAGCAGTATGCCACAATGTTTTGTACTGGTCGCGCTGCTTGAGCACACGTCCAGAACACCTAGCTGCATCAGTACCCTGCAGAACAGACGATGACACATAAATGCTCGCAGTCGGCCGTGTGCTGCCCGTTTGCACGGCCGCGTGCCAATAGGCTGCAGCCATGATGCGTGCGGCTGTTTTCGCAATCGAGATCGGTGGTGTATCGAGGACGAAGGCGCGGCCACCCTCCGCCAGAGCTAGTAGCATCAATTCCCAAACTTCGATGCCTCTTTTTCCTACCACGACGGGCGAGGTCTAGGTACAGTGCGGCAGTAGGTAGGCAGCTGATGGACCGAGAAAGACCGCATCGCAAATGTTGGGCGTGGGCAATACGAATGTACCCCTTCGGCTCAGGTCAAGACGTCAACGACCTGGCGGCACGGCAGCACTCTCCAAGTCGCCACAAAGGAAGGCCACAGACAAATTGTGCAAATTTTGGAGCCGTGACAGCCCGCACTTGCTGTAATTACGGTCAATGTTCCATCCCCAGCCGAGGACAGGAAAGGGAGTTTGTGAATGTGGCCGGCTATGCGGTGGTGTGGAAGGCTATGAGCAATCGGCCATATCCGTGCGCCCTTGCGCACCGAAAGTGCGCAGACAGATAGGCTCCATGAAGGAGAAGCATGAATTGGCCCATGTGGTACAGTTGTCCTGTAGAGACTTTTCATTCCACACCGACATTGCCATGGAGTTGTGGCGTTGTGGCATTGTGGAAACACGCGCCCAGTTCTGTATGGACATGGAGTAAGTGGACAGTCGACCAGACCCAGACGCCGCTTTCTGGGCGTCGTTGAGCGGTGTCTCCCGCTACCTTGTCTTCCGGTTCCTGACAAGCAGACCACACCATTGAAGTGTGGTCAGGTGTGGTCAATCTGGCTCGCGCAATCAGAAAGAAGAATTTGGATATGGGGCTGCATCCAGATGAGGTGGCAGCATGACACTCCGTGCCGTGCGTAGAGAGCGTCGTCCAACTCGTGTCATGCTGCTCGCTGATTTGGATTCGCGTGGTGTGCCAGGGCCATGTGCTGTGCGACGCTGCGGGTACGCCGTCCAGTTTTCGACATGCAGATTACTCTTTCAAGAGCGTGCGACTGTCCTTTTCTTCACGCGGCAGTTACCCACCGATCGTTGGCTTCTGGTCGCGCCGTTTGCCTGCATCTCACTTCTTCCGCTCCCTGACGTGGTCGATTAGTGACGTGAAACATGTAAGTGGATGCGGCGGCCGGGACCCGCTTCGTCCGATGCCTGACATGCAGACCACCAAGGGCAGGGACGTGCGCCGACCAATTCTCTCTGCGTCGTGTTGGCAGCTACGGTACATGTCGGTTTCTCGACATTGGTACGAAGCGGCAACCAGAACTTGCCGTGCAGATCATTGCGAAGTGTGGGAAACCACTTCGCCCAGTTTTTGCGTCGCGTGTGGCAGCTTCAGTACATGTCAGCTTCGCAACGTGGTTGCACGGCGACGGCCAGTTCCGCCGTGCAGATCATTGCGGAGTGGCGGCGGCCGCATCGTCCGCCCGGGCCATCAACATTCAGACCCGGACGAGGTCGCCATGCAGGGCGCGAAGATGGACAAGGGTGCTGGTTCGTCCAATTCCTTCATGTGGACGGCGTCGTCCGGTTCCAGACGTCCCGCTCGCTGACGTGGAGCCTGTGCCGAGATGCAGTCGCAGGGGTTTGTGCCGTCTAAGTGTCGACTATGGCAGTGGCGGACATTGTGCAAAGCTTGACAAGCAGATCACCGTAGCACATGCGGTCTTGGCACATTCTTCGGGTGCACGCTGCGTCGCAGCTAAAGTCGGCTTCCTGACGTTGCCTGGTGGCATCTCCTGCCGCCGCATTCGAGCTACCGCGTCCGTCGCTTCCTGCCGTCCAGTCCCTGCTTGTCGTCGGCTGCTACAGCTTATGTCACGTTCTCGACGTCATTGCGTGGAGGTGTGTCCATTCTATGCAAGACGTTATGGGCCACAGGGCCTGATTCTGGGTGTGCAGCTCTAGGTCGATAAGCTGCTGCCGCGTCCGATGGTGACCACGCGATTCCGAGGTACACGCATGTGGACACAAGTCCAGAGGAGGGCCAGCAACGTCACAATGTTGAGCACTTAGCCGGTATACCGCCGTAGTACTGTACGTTTACATTACGGACGTACGGTAGCCACGCCGGGCCTGTCCGTTTATCCAATTACAGTTATTGCCACGGCCGGTATGGCCCAGGTTCAGTAGAGACGAGAATACGGCGTTCTTTTGATGTGTCCAGAAGCTGGTCTAAGACGGGGTGGTGATGGAGGCAGTCGTATTTGGACATTGCTTCGCCCACGACGCTTTTGCAGCTCTTAAGATCGTAAGAGGCCCAAGGCCAGAATAGTTCGCGGCAACAAGCCGCCATAGTAGCAAATGGATGCGATGGCCCTCGCGGCAAAACTACGTCTGTTGCGGCCACTTGTCCAGCTGGAGAGAATGCAACCGGGAATCGAAAGGCAAAGGCAGAAACCAGCCTTCTTTTTAGTGGGCAAAGGGTTACAGTTCCCTAGTGGCTATCTTGTCGACTACCTGCCGTGTCCGGGGTGCGGGAACAGCGCCCCATGGCGACAAGAGGCAGATCCCCATTAGGATGCGCGATCTTGACACTTCTCCAGGTGCACGCTACGTCGCAGCTGAAAGCCGGTTTCTCGACATCGTCTGGGCATCTCGTGCTGTCGCGTCCATCGCTTCCTGCCGTCTAGTTTCTGCATGTTGATGACTGCTCCAGGTCATGTCACCTTCTCGTCGTGACGTGGGTGCGCCCACTTCTATGCAGGACGTTATGGCTTCGCAGGACCTGATTCTGGATGTCTAGATGATGTGCGGTATGCTGCCGCCGCGTCCGAAGGGCCAGTTGCACAGTTAGAGACATTACAACGCCAGTGGCACCGAAAAGCAGAAACCAGCCTTCTGTCCTGATGTGGGCAAAGGGTGGGTCAGCTCCCAAGTGGTCATCTTGTCGACTACAGCGCCTGCAGCCCGGTCGGTCGGGGGTGCAGAAATAGTACAATGAACTTCAGTGACCCCATCCACACCCCCAGAAACGCAGCCAAAGCCGGCCCTGATATTTCCAGTCCTGGAAGCCATGGTGAGAGGCCACAAGCTCCCCTGCGTACCTGCATCATCCAGTCCTCCCAAAGCGGCGAGGAGGGGGTGGACATAGCGGACCCATGTTGGCACGAAGTGGACAATCGCCCGTCATTCGCCCAGCCACCCCCACGACAGAACCCGTCATGGATGGCCACAAGCTGCCTCGGCCAGTTCCTGATGATCCTTGTCGTTTACGTAAAGATCATGCAAGGCCACTTGTGGCCATCTGTATGCGTGCGGTGGGCCACCACTCCTGACACCCACAGCAAACCCCACGCCCACCCCGCTTGGACTTCAATTTCTGGAAGTCCTGCGTATGGCCGCAAAGCTCCCTGCGCTGCGGGACGAAAGCGGCCCCCATGGCCGCAAGAAGCGGACAACCCACCAGTGATGACCCCTTGCTAACCCAGATGCTTCCACATCCTCTTCCGGAAGTCACGCTTGGAGGCCACAACTTCGTCGCTAATAAGCGGTCTGACGTCGAGAATTCGGATATCGGCAATGCTGGCACCTTGATAGCAAGCACGTACTTTCGCTAAGCACACAATACAAGTGACATATGGCTGGCCCCTCGCGGCAAGTCTTCCCAGATGTCCATCCAGCATTTCATCGGCTCGGAGACGCTGCGTGTCAAAGCCTGGTGCCCGTCAGCGGGTCTTCCAGGCGCGTGGCGATAGCCACAATGGTCAACCCTTGGTTTTCACCGATCAGAATCCTCTCGCTCGTTCGGCCAACGCTGCTGCCGCAGTCCCAAGCCCCAGTAACCAAGCGTAGGAACTGGTCGAGGAGCGGCGGCAGGGGAAAACCCTCGGAAGGAATCAGAGGCTGTCGGCACAGCTTGCCTTCAGGGAGAAAAACCTCCGCAACCGGTCACCGTGATTGGAGAGTGAACCCTCCAATTGCCCAATAGCTCCTTGGTTCCGAAGGAAAGCTAGGGGCCAAAGTGCAATTGTCAAGACCGGCCTCGCAGAAGAATATGAACTCTCCTAAGGTCTTCCTCTGTGCTGTTAAGGCCGCGATGGCCTTGGCAGCGAAAGCGCGGTCGGGTGGCCTGCAAAATCTGGCCCAGGCTTAGTGAGCCGCTAACAGCTCTTCAGGGGTGCAGATTTTTACAGGGGAGAGTTGGTTTTATCCTTCATTGTTTGAGTTCCTATAGAGTGTAGGGTGGTAATCCATCATGGTGGATGTTGATGTGGAAGCCTCCGTGGGTGGGGGCTACCCCACGACGCCAAAACGCCGCATGGAGCGGCCAACGCTCGCGGTGCGGCGAGACAGTCTGAAGAGAAGGAGCTGGCGGCGAAGCGCATGGCTCGGCAAGCGTGACGATGACGCTGTCAAACTTAACTAAGTCAAGAATCATTTGCGGCGGAATGCCTGGTCGAGATCCATTGCTCCACACCGGTGAAGCTACCGCCCAGCCGCCTTCTCTAAATACTTGTTGGGGGAGGCTAGCGCCTGCTGCCGGACGGATCGCATCCGCCGGAAGAAGTCTAGTGTGCGAAGACCTCCCCTGCGAGTGGATCATCGAGCCCCTGCAGCGCCCCGCCGCAGCGCGACGCCTGGTCAACTCTCGTCCGCAGGTGCGGGGCCTTGAGCGCGCGGGAGAAGGGGAACAAGGGCAGCACGACTCGCTCCTCGCGTCCGCCAGGAATGGCAAAGCGTCCAAGGGCAAGCAAGCCAAACCCGTGTGGGCTGTGGGCTAGGGCTAGGAAGGTCTACGATGGGAGAAAGAGGAGGTACATGCCACGTCTTGTTCATGAGGCGTTGCAACTACATCGCTACTGGTGCCATGTTTGTCGCTTTCAAGCGTCCTCGTCTAGATTCTGCTACTGTACGTGAATCAAAGCAAGCTGAAAGTTCTCATAACAATGGTCCATACCATTTCCACACTCATGCCCGAGCACGCAGATGACAAGGATTATAATGCGCATGGCGCAACGGGTACAGACCTGCCGCCTGACTACATGCAGGGGCGGCCACTTCACGACTTCATGCGCGTGGCAGTGTGCTAGTGCCACGACCGTATTAGTATTGACTAGCTCCGCAGGACTGTAGGCCAAGAAGAAGAAAGAGTGTTGAGAGAGACTCGCTAGCCAGTGTCAGACCGCTCCCACTGGCCACTCGCTCCGAGACCTTGCTCGGACCGAGCGCTAGTCCAGCTCCCCACTGTGCGATGCGGTGTAGCGCGTACAAGCCCGATGTCGAGCCAGAATGACTTCTAATACAAGGCAGCGAGCCCCAGGTGTACCAGAGAAGCCAACGGAACCTCGTTGACACCTTCCCACGATGGTCAAGCATCTCATCACTGATATTGCACTCAAATGCGGTCATATAAACAATGTCGAACCCAAGGAGTGCAGTCACAACCCGGCGTGCCCAAAGACCAGGCGTTTGGAATCGCACGTCGAACTCAAGGCGAGGCTGTGCCAAATATGCGAAGATGCGCGGACGATCCACATCCACCTTCGACACCTATCAGATATGCAGTCTCTGGAGCGTTACTGGAGTACGCGCGCCCTGTGTAACAACATAAACATTCGTGGCCCGTTCGAGATCCAGGTGCCTGCGGCGATTGGCGTGATGGATGGTTCTGAGTGGAGGACGGTGTGGCGAAAACAAATTCTACGCTGTGTAAATGGCGCCAAGAATGGAGCAACGACTGTATTTATGGCCGGACTGAAGGACCTTCCAATCAGTGAACTGGACGCTCGAGGCGAAGAATTTGTGGAAGGAGCTATTCTGCAGGTGATTGACGAGATTGGGCAAGCAACCCCGGCTAGATGAAGGCGCAGACAGCGGACACAAGCAAAGGCCATGGGTTCTCATGCTTTCTTGGTTCATTGTTTGACAAGTTGTGAGGCAGAGCAAACTCAGCTTCCTACGCGAGTGACACCGCAAAGTCTGAAAAGGACGAACTCTTCGCTTCCTGTTACAAATGGCCAAATACAGCGGCAACAAATTCACAAATCGAGAGTAGCTTTGGGCACCCCCCACGTAACGGTACCGAGTATAGCCAGAAAGTTGTTCTCTTTTGGTACCAGCAACCTAGCCGGACAAGTCAATGGGGGCATAAATATAGTGGATACTACCATTGATGGCAGCAAGCCCCTCATGCTCCAGGTACATGACTTGGTTTGAATGCCAGACGCTGCGACGCGCCGTCCCCGTGCATCGATCCAGTAGCTTGACATCAACTGTTTTATTTGTGAGCGGAAGCAGAAGCGCACCACCCAAGGCTGGCCAGGTTGCGGTTCCCACTTCGCTTCGGAACGCTTCAGCGGGCAGGGTGAGAAGGTTCTCAAGTGTAGCACCCTGCATCGATGCCAAGGTGTTGAGCTTGACAGCCTACACCATACTTAGCATTCGTCGAGTTGGGCCGGGGTTATGATACTTGTCCGCCACCTACCTTCTCCCTGATAGCGGCTTCGAAGTATTCCACGGAAGCCTGGGGAAGCCCATACGAGTACAAGCCCTGTGCTCTCTGAGTAGGACGCGTAATGAGAATGTCGGTCATGATGTCGGATATTGCCACCTGTTGAAGCTCAATAGTACGGTATCCCAAGGCGTAGAGCCTAGTGGACGCTCGTTGACGTGGTGCAGAAAAAAACCGATCGCATGCCTGCAATGAGGAGGAAGTAGTAAGGTTGACCCCTAATCGGCTCTGACAAGCCAGCATTTGGTCCGAGAGGAAAATATCGCGGATCTTTTGCGGACTGCATTACTCGTCAGCCAGACAAAAGACATGCGGTGAATTAGCTGTATTACTCTCGTCCACAATACTTGCCGCCTAGTAACAAATATACCAGATTTATAACTGACAGGCACCCTGATTGCAACTGCCGTTTTGGTCGGTACACAGAGGACTTGTGTTCCTCAATATACTGTCCGCACTCCGCGGTGTAGCTAAGGAAAACCGTCGTCCACGATGCCACTGGGTCATCCTTAGCATTAACACCCCAAGGAAGGACTATGCATACCGTATAGAGGAAGCTCATTGGACCGTGGTCCAAGTATGTTCGCGAAACGCTCAACAAATTGGATCCCTTCTCGTGTTGCCTTGACGGACTTCCGGAGGGTCTCATCGCCAAGCTGCTGCCCTGACCTGCTGTAATGCCACAGACAGTTCCGCAAATATTCATATATCTCGTCTCTCGCAACGCCTTCCTTTATGGCAACTTCGGAAAGGCCGATTACGGCCAATTTGAAGAGTTCGATCAGGTTCTCATCTGCTTTCTCCCCGGCCAATCGCTTGAAGTGCTCCGCGCACTCGCTGAAAAGGTCCTTCCAAGTTAGGGCGGCCTTTCTCGCCGGGCTGAGATGAGAGAGCACAAGCTTCTGCAGTGTTCTTTCCACATCATCCTGTGTACAGAGGATGCGATCCCAATCCTGCTCCGTTTGCGGCAGCTTCTCCGCAAGTAGCTTCTTCATTATTGGCTCCCACCGCTTCCTCTTCTCTGACGGCGACACAGTCGGGCCAGGTGATCGCGTTTGAGTTGGTTCGAAATCATTGGCGTTTGCGATAATGAACTGTAGGGGCTGCTCCCTTGCCATGGCCAGAGGGCTGGGATTCAGGAGCGTTTCGATCTTGGTGATTGCTGAAGGTCGATTCGTCTATGGTGCGCGGGCCGCAAGATGAGAGGGGCTGGCTTTGTCCTGGTTCACGGCGCCAGGTTGCCGCTAGTGAAGCCCAATCTGGCCAGAATTATGCCGATCACGTGGCTTAGTTTTGTGCCTTGCTGAACGCCAGGTCCCCGGCGTTCCGCGTACATTATTGGACAAAAGGGTTCCATTTCTTCGTCATGACGCTGCACCGTGGGGTACGTCAATGTGGGTTCCTACTCCTGGCGAGGCAGGTGGAGTCAGCAGACTGGCGAAACGTAAGTCGTTCCGCTCAAGTTTCAAAGGGGTTTGGGGACCAAGACACGGCGTAAAATGGACCGGACCTGCCTGAACGGGCAAGAACCTGCGGCAAAGGGACACGGCGTGTTTACCTCGAGCTGGCCATGGGTTGTGCGGGAAGATAGATGCCATCACCGTAGGCAAAGCTACAGTAGACGCCCAGAGGCATGCTATCGCCTATGCACGGGCGGCGCAGACACCTCGCATGATCATGCCATTGTTGCCGAGAGCAGCTGGAGACCATCGGTCCTCTGCAGATGTGGACCCGTGTCCTTGGTACACATCGTTGCCCATAAGTGCAAAAGCCCGAGTCAGATGATCATGCACCCGGCTCGAGTCACAATGAGTCAAGGACAAAACATGCCTTGACGAGCGGTGACGAGGGGGTCGGACGCGTCCGAGGGTGCCCGTTGAGCTTGACTCGTGGTCGGCCTTTCCATCCCATCAACGCGGACATAGACAGCTGGACATGGGTTGATACCGACAGGCCAGTTGCTTGGCCGCCGGTGAGGCATGTAACACGCGCGCGCGGCCGTTGAGCTATCGAGCCGTGACCTTCTTCTGCAGAGCTAGCGACTCGTGTTTTGCTGATGAGCAAACAAACATGTTGGACGAATCGCATCCGCCGAAAGAAGCCAAGCGCGTGAAGATCTCACCTGTGAATGGATCATCGAATCCCTGCACAACCCGCCGAAGGCAACGCAAAGTCGGGCAATTCGGGTTCGGGGTGGCAGGCTAGGGAGGCCAGGCGGTTAGCGCGAGAAAAGAGAGAACAGTGGGCGGCACGACTCGCTCCAAGCAGGTTACCACCCAGCGATGTCATCACTTCCAGGGTTGCTTTCAGCTCGGACTCGGGCGCGAGACCCCTGGGCCCGCCCGACTCCCGCTCGCGTCCACCAGGAATGGTACCGCCAAGACTGACATTGGCGCTAGCCCACAGCGCATTGTCATGGAGAGACGAAATGAACCCCTGTCCGATAGCTGTGCATGCAGAGCGACATGAACCATGCGTCCGTGCAACATCCTCAAACCAGCAAGGCATAACTAGGCTGAGCTGTGTTATCGGCTGATTCTGGCCGATAATGAGCTCTTCGCAGGGGCTCATACTCTCAATGGACAGAACATGTGTACAACGACGAACCTTGCCCGACGCAAGTTCAAGCAAACATTCTAACTTCATCCCAGAATCAGCTAGTGTCACTTGATGTTCGCTACTCTTCCCACGTTTCCCACACAAAATTCATTCAGTGTACCTCCGCGCCTGTTCTTCTTCACTCTTTTGACGACGCATTGTCGCAACCCATTGATCTACAGTTTCAATCACCTTCTCCGGTTGGTGCTTGTGCTGCAATAGCAATCCCTGAATCTCGGCAGGGCTGAACTCTCTTTCAGGCAACTTGCTGGCAAAGCAAAGGGCAAAATCGTCGATCCGCTCGCGACTTTGTAACTGCCGTTTCGCCGCAGTCGCATCTTCTGGCATGCTTCCGCCCTTGTCTTCATCATCGGCCGTGTCCCCACGCGTTCCTTTGGATATATCAGTCAATTCGTTTTCAAACGGCGCATAGATCGCGCGAAATATCGACGAGGCAATGTCTCTGTCCGCTAGACCAAATGGGATGATCTTATCGACACGGCCTGGACGTATGAGTGCTTTGTCGAGTTTGTCAATATAATTGGTGGTCATAATAAGGATGCGGCCCTCTTGCGCAGCAACACCGTCCAAAATGTTCAGCAGACCGGACAATGAGAGCGTTTTGTTGGCAGTAGGAATGGATCCCGCATCAGCCTGCTGCTGACCGTCATGCGAGTCGGGCCGACCATTCGTGACGTGCGACTTTTGCGCTGAGCTTTCTTCACGTGTGTGGGCCAGGCCGGCAGTGTCGATGTCTTCCAGTAGAACAATGCATCGAACAGGAAGCTCGTTGAAGAGTGTCATGATCTTCTCCTCGCTGGCCAACGCGGAACTGAGGCTGACGATGTAGATTTTTAAGCGGAAAAGTGCGGCCAAGGCGAGACTCAGCGAACTTTTTCCAGTCCCTGGAGGCCCGTGGAAGAGGTAGCCGCGCCGATAAGGGATGCCGCGGTTGGCGTACCACCGTTGGGTCTCTGGATCCAGATAATCGCGGGCGTCATTGAGAAGGTCTTGCCTAGATTTTCCATCGAGGAATACTGTCGACAATGCGCGATTGAGTCGTGACATACAACGTTTCCAAGACGTGTCCTGAAAATTCCCACGATAGATCAGAGTTTTCTGCTCGTCTCGTTTCATGTAAGCTTGGCGTGCCTCAGAGAGCAAGTCTTTGATAATGCCAGGGTTACGCCCAAAACATAAGAGCACCAGCTCCTCGCGCTCGCTCATAGACTGGAAATTTGATTCTTGATTGTTCAGGCGACGCTCAAATACCAGTAGATGACCTCTATACCAGAAGTAGTGTGATCCAAAAGCAGGTGTGTAATGGATACCACCTTTTCGAGAACCAGTTTTCAATTTGGCATGTTCAGGTAGCGCGGCGGTGTACTCTTCTTCTTCTTCATCGCCCGAGTCGCCGTGCATGTACGTATACCAGTGACGAGAGCTGATGTCCGTATTGGCGAAGGAGTGCCGTGAGCTTCGGGCAAAACGTTGTTGCGAAAGCCAGAGGATGAATACGTTGTAAGCCTCGTCATCTGCGCGGATGGTAACAGACGACAGAAGATAAGAGTGAACAAAGTTCCATAACGGATCACTTCCAAAGCTCCAGGCAACTGTCATGGCGACAACCATTAGAACCATGGGGATATAGGCGTTGATGTCGATATTTAGATATGCCTTTGCCGCCGATGTAAGAACTGAAAAACCAGGAACGAAAGAGTCGACAAGAACTGTTGGGAACTGCGATGGTCTAGAAACAACAGGTGTCGTCGCACACGAGGATGGTAGCCCGTCGCTCATGGTTGGCAGCTGAAGCCGATGCACTCGAAGGATGTCTTATGCTCCGATTGCACTCTGACGTACAAATACCGAACCAAACTACCTAACACAAGCATACGGAGCGAGGAAAGGGACGATTCAGCCAACAAATCGGTGATGACTCCCAGAGATGTGACAGACTTTCTCGATATATAGCTGGACCTCACTTTATGCGAATGCGACGCAGGAGTCTCTGGACCCGCGTTGCCTAACGGCGTAACCGCTCCGCCTTGCAGCATCTGTGTGACTGGATGGCTCATCGTAACGGGTGTGTGGGTCTATTGATGCATGATTAGCGGTGGCTGGAGCGAACTCCGTTCTGCATCTCACCCATGACCTGGCCGCAGTCTGATCAGAGTCAGTTTGGTTCCGTGTTACGTGGGCCTAGCTTAGCTTTAGTGGGGTTCCCGTGCAAGTCAGTGAGAAGTTCACTACCAAGCGCACCTGCCATTCAGACACGCGCGGCCCGCACTGTCCGTTCCCGTAACTTGTACAGATCGGGTCAAGTCCGTGTGGCAGCTCACTCTTTTCGCTCCAATATGCGGGGCCGGCTGGACAAGGTGAAACATGAGCACGACCGCAAATGCGCAGTATCGAGGCGAAGCGTCAGGCATGAAGCGGTTTCTGCGGGGCCAGAGGAGGCTGTGTGCCACGTCGCGGAGCGTGATGGCACGGACGCCCGCAAGGGTAGTCATGGACTGTGGTAATGACGACTGATTGGTGCGGTACCTCATTGCAATTACTGTACTAGGCACCAAATACAGTAAAGAATGAACAGGACGTCTACTTCCTGTGTTTCGCTCCTGTTGCCATTGACCCATCCACCGGTGTAAAGGCGGCGAAGCAAACTCTCGTAGCAGGGCAAGTCATGCCGCCGAATCATGCACACGGCAGCAACACAGCATACCGACAACTGTCAATACCAATCCAGCACGCTCTCAAATCGAAAATTAGTAGTAGTAGTAGTAGTAGTAGTGTATTTTCCGTCCAGCGGCCGTGAGGCCGCTCAGGTCCCTATGGGGCACAGGACGTGCTGAGCTGAACTATCTAGAAAAGCGCCGCCAGAAGCCTAACCCAGTGCTGCTTGCAAGACCTCGCAAGGCCGAGCTGTCGAGGTCGAACCCGGAGGCGGCTTTCCTACCTCCCGCATGGTAGGTTTTCGCTAAGCACACAATACAAGTGACATATGGCTGGCCCCCGCGGCAAGTCTTCTCAGATGTCCATCCAGCATTTCATCGGCTCGGAGGCGCTGCGTGTCAGAGCCTGGTGCCCGTCAGCGGGTCTTCCAGGCGCGTGGCTATAGCCACAATGGTCAACCCTTGGTTTTCACCGGTCAGAATTCTCTCGCTCGTTCGGCCAACGCTGCTGCCGCAGTCCCATGCTCCAGTAACCAAGCAAAGGAAATGATCGGGGAGCGGCGGCAGGGAAAAACCCTCGGAAGGAATCAGAGGCTGTCGCGCAGCTTGCCTTCAGGGAGAAAAACCTCCGCAACCGGTCACCGTGATTGAAGGGCGAACCCTCCAATTGCCCAATAGCTCCTTGGTTCCGAAGGAATGCTATGGGCCAAAGTGCAATTGTCGAGACCGGCTTCGCAGAGGAATATGAACTCTCCTAAGGTCTTCCTCTGTGCTGTTAGGGCCACGATGGGCCTTGGCAGCGAAAGCGCGGTCGGGTGGCCTGCAAAATCTGGCCCAAGCTTAGCGAGCCGCTAACAGCTCTTCAGGGGTGCAGATTTTTACAAGGGAGAGTTGTCTCAAATCGAAAATCCCTTCGACCAGGTGCGATCCCGGGTAGGTACATCGCGCAGGCTATGGTCACATCCCCGCAGACAAACGCTAGGGCCACCAGGACAACCTCAGTGAGCAGGTGGTGTAATATAAGCATGTTGGGTACAATGGTAGCTGAATCATACTGCTACTGGACCTTGCTAACGTCACGTATGATGGTTCTTGCGGACCGAATGGGCTCGCTACGTGCTACTGCATTGCGATTGCAAGAGCCGTGCCATGGGCAATGTCTTACTTACCCCAAGGGAAGGAAGCCTGGGCAATGATTCAATTGTTCGGTCGGTACTCAATTCACTAGGTTCCCTACACAACACAACATTCACCTGAAACTGCGCCGCGCCTATCGCTTCGGTGATTGGATCTGCAGATGAGCTAATCTCCCCGTGAGGCTGAGCCGCTGTGGCATTAACGTGGTTGCATGCGTACATTCGGGGCGCAGTCGATACGAGATGTTGAGTACTGTATTGATGGCAAGGCTGGGCGGTTGTTAATAAATTTCAGCGGGAGCCGCTCAAAGCATGACGTGACACGGTCCTCCCTTCCATGCCTTGTCACACGGCTATCCTTGCACCCAGCAGGTGGGACTGCAGCCAAAGATGAGTGTTAGCCGGCAACGGCAACTTGGATGTCTGGTACTGTACAGCGCTCATCTGGGACCTTGCCAATGTACCTATACTTTGGCGTCGGCAACGCCGCATAAATGCCCGCCCACAGCATCGTTGACGGAACCAGAGTGTCCCAACAACCCAACGAGGCCACGGTACAGGGCTGTTGAGTTCTGAATCATCTATCCTTGGTGTGGGCGACGATGCGAGAGTAGAGAGATCGGACAGGGTCCCCAGCAACCTCGACCCGCCCAACCTCAGGCACAGGAACGAAATCGCATGAGTAGTAATACCCGACACACGCGCTGCGAAATCCGTCTGCATTTCCGGAGCCTCGACACAGGTCGATGGTCTGATCTCGTAAATCGTCCAGTGAGTCATCTGCTCCTGCGGCAACACGCCGGCGATCATATCGCTTGGGAGTATGACGCTGCCCAAATGATGGGCTGAGATATTCTTGGAAGTCGCACGAGGAAAGCTGGGACAGGTCAGATCAACAGGATTGCGTGAACCGGCGAGCGAAGATATTCACTTCGTCTTCTTACACGAAAAAGATGGAGAGGAGAGGCTGGCGGCAGGGGCAAGATGAAACAGCAGCTGGGCCACTGGTCTTTGGCCAGAAAGAGAGTGCTTGTACGGAGTAGAGATCTTCGAGAGACGCAAGGCACAGCAGTTAGTAAACTATGTCAGGTTTATATAGGCTCGAAGACGCTGTTCCACAGCAAGTGACGAGGTAACATTCACGAGGAAAGAGGAAACGGTTTGGAATAGCGAAAGCTTTGCTATTCGTATTAGTCACTGTTGCAAGATCGCCATCGATAGTTTGATGCCAGAACCAGGCGCCTTGTCCTCCTACGTCAGCTGTTGACGTGGCTGCAAGATCGACAGGATTGCCCGCAAAGCCAATGCGTCCAGAGGCAATCCAGTTTGGATAAGAGTCGGCATGGCGTCCTGGTCTGCAGGTCTCCAGGGCCGTCGGGCATGTGTGTTGCGGCGAGGGAGGAAAGTTACGCATGCAACGCGACGCCACTCAATTGGGGCCTCATTACAGCGCAGCGCGAAGAGCCGCCGGCGAGACCCAGCCCGTCAACATGCCTCATACTCGAGTACATTTCATAGCTCGATTATTGCATCACTGTGGTAGATTCCCAGAGCCAAAGTCCGTGATAGTCATGGATAACGCCTCTTGGCACCATTCCGAGAAGATCCAGCAGATGTGCAAAGACGCAGGAGTAGTCATCGAGTTTCTACCACCGTACTCACCCGACTTCAACCCGATCGAGGAGTATTTCAGTGTGCTCAAGAAGTTCATCAAGAAGAATTGGCACGACAACGAAGACTTCATAAGGAGAGAGTTCAAGATGTTCTTGGAATGGTGTGTGGACGTGGTGGGTGACGATAAGCATATTGCGCAAGGTCACTTTCGTCATGCGGGACTGGATGTAATACCGCCCCCTACGTGATGATAGACATGACAAGAGGCTAAAAGATGCACTACCTAACTTAATTAGATGACACAACGAATGTATGATTGTAGATTCCCGAGTCGCCGAGCCGGCCTTCCTGTTGACCACGGACTTGCAGCCTTCGGCTGATTGCACGCCTTGCACCACTGCTCTAAAGTGCAAGGCGTGGCGAAGTATTTTAAGTAGAATCAGCCCATACCAGCCCCGGGTCTGAGTGAAATGGTTAGAGGGGGTAAGCATCGTCCGCCAACGTGGCTTAATCTCTGGTGTTGAAGAGAAACTTGAGTTCATTCACGTTAAGACGGCCAATCTTCATGCTCTCCGTCTCGTCGAGCGCCGCCTCGACAATTTCCTTCTTGCGCTCCTGTAGCTCCATGATGCGGTCCTCGACCGTCTCCTGGGTGAGGATGCGGTGCACCTTGACGTCCTTCGACTGCCCGATGCGGTGTGCACGATCAATGGCCTGCATCTCAATGTATGGGTTCCAGAATGGATCCATGATGATGACGTTGTTGGCAGATGTCAGGTTGAGGCCTGCATTGCCTGCCCTGAGGGACACAAGCATCACTGTCGCCTCCGGCTTCGTCTTGAAATCCCGCGCTGCCTGCGCGCGCTGGTCCCCCGTCATACTGCCGTCATAACGTAGTGGCTTCTGGCTGAAGCCGTCGTGCCACATGGCCACCTGCAAGAGATCCAGCAGTAGCGTCCACTGGGAAAAGACGATCGCCTTCTCCTTGGTTTCCTGAAGTTTCTTAAGCAGCTCCATGCACGCTGTAACTTTAGCTGATGGCATCCACGTCTTTCGCAAATACCTCATGTACGTTTTGTATGCCGCCTGATTCCTCCCTGCCTCGACGCGGAGGATTTTCAGCATCGAAGGCTTGACTTCCTTGTCCTTCTTCTTGCCCTTTCTCCTTTTCTTTCTGGCAGACGCAGCTGGGGTTCCACCCGCGGCCGACGTGGACTTCATCTGATCTGTATCGTCAAAGTCATCATCGACAATGAAACCCCGAAGATTGCCCTTGCTGTCGACGTCATCAGCATCGTCGTCCGCATCCGACTCGGAGCCTTCCCCACCGCTGTCCGAGTCCTCGGCGTCTGACTCTGACTTTTTGACGATGGTCTCCGGCATGTGAACGGTCCGGAATGCATCGTACGAGAAACACTTCTTCGGATCAAACGAACCGCGACAAACAGGGCACCTAGCCGTGGCTGAGTCGTCACCTGACCGAACAGTCATAGACATGGCGTTGTCCACGAGCCGAGTGAGGCAGTCCTTGCAGCTGTCGTGGCCGCACGGAACGAAGAAGGATGGGAATTGGACAGCGTCAAAGCAGATTGGACACTCAAACGCTTCCATAGCCTTGATTCTCTCGACGACGGGCTCACTGAGATTCTTGACTAGCTCCCCCACGTCTTCGTTGGTGACGCTGAGAGGAACGGCGTCGTCGACGTCAACAATCAAGTGCGGGTGGCAGCAAGCCTGGCGCATGCGAAGAAGCAGGACAAGAATGTTGGAGTAGTTCTTCCCAATCGATCCCTCGCGAAGGTACTTGCTGAACTGGACCTGCGACTTCTCTTCCAGCTGCTTGTAGAAGTGTCGCTCGTCTAGACAAAGTTCGGCGTGCACGATTTCCTCGGTCTTGGAGGGCAACTTCAGGATCGGCTTCCCTTCCAACTCGGAGTCCTTCTTGCGCCGCAGCATTATGGCCCTGAGCAGAGCCCGTAGTCGTTTCATCGCGACGGATTTAGAAACACCCTGTTTACCCCAAAGTGTGCCAAACGACTCGCGGAACTTCTCCCACTCGCAGTAGGGTTTGATGCGGAGGAACTTGACCAACGAGAATAGTTCAATAACCCCGTTCATCATAGGCGTGCCTGTGAGGCACCACCGGTACGTGGCTTTGATTGCGTGGCAGGCTTTGGTGGTCTTGGTCTTGTCGTTCTTGATGTGCTGAGCCTCATCAAGGATGACCCTGTAGAACTCTGCCCTGGAGGGGTGTAGCAATGGGAACTTGAGCGAGTGGTTCCGGTCGTCGAGATTCAAAGTTCGATCCCGGTTCTCCTCCAAATACTTCTGCAGTCGCTTCCACTCATTGGCAACAGTCAGGTAGGTGGTGAGCACCACGTCGTGCCGAAGCAGGTCCTCAGCGCTAGCCTTTGTATTGTGGTAAACGAAGACTGACATTCTATACATGCTTTTAGTCTTGGTCTTCAGTTCGTCTTCCCACTGACGAATGAGCGATAGGGGCCCGATGATGAGGTTTGTCTGCCGACTTGTCAGATTGTAATAATTTAGCATGCAGAATTATAGACTCACTTTGGGCCGCTCCTTCTGCGGTCTGTCTAGCATGAGGGCCAATGTTGAAATAGTTTTGCCGAGACCCATATCGTCCGCAAGAATACCTCCTTTGTTGGAGCCGTCTTCCATCTTCTTCATCCAAGACAGAGCAAGCTCCTGGTGGAGATAAAGGGCCCCCTTAAGGCCCGCCGGGGTCCCGTCCCGATTGCGTTCGGGAATGTCCATGTCTGGCCGGATATTCTGAAGGAGGTCGTCCAGTTCCTTCTCGGTCACTCTAGGGTCGTGATACACCTCTTGCAGGAAGTTGGACAGCCTGTCAGGCAATGCTTGCCCATCCTCGTACTGAATTGCCGAGTAGTCAACAAGATTCGAACGGCTGATAGCGTTCATCAAGCTTGAACCACCCGTGGAAGGGAGACTCAGAACCCTTCTGGCGCCCGGGCTCATGAACGGAGAAGAGCCTCCCGGCATCATATGCCCCGCGTGGAGCGCTGCCACGGAATGGGAGCTCAAGGAATGCCCATAAGTTTGCCTGTACCCTGTAGTTTGCCTGTACCCTGTCGGGCCCGTAACGCCCGGAAAGCCCCCGTTACAGCTACTCACAAACGGATTTGGAGCTTGCGTTTGCGGGGTTGAGGGAGCCGTGGCGAATCCGCGACCGGGAGCAGGCGATGCGAATCCAAACGCCGGCGGCTGGTCCCAGCTCGGGTTGTTCGCCCCTGGCATACTCATGGCCGGGTTTTCCCACGCCGGATATTGGACACCGGGACCGCTGTTCCCAGCCATAGATGACCCTGATAGGCCCCGCTCGTTTGCTCGTTGAGTAGCCATCAGCCTCGACAGCGCATCTTGTCGTGCAGGACCCGAGCCACCCCGCGACGAGGGGCCAGACTCGGACTCTTGAGATAACTGTTGGGCAAGGCGACGGTCTTGAACTTCCTGCTTAAGCCTATTTTCGGCCTTGATTTGTTCAGCAATGCACGTTGCGTCCTCCTCGATATCAGATCTGGTCTGCGGTTAGCTCCATATTGGGTTCAAGGGGTTGGGCCGATATACCCTGTCAGGTCGACGATACCTGAACCCTGTGACGAGACTGGAAAGCGTGAACTTCCTGCTGGTGTGGGGGTTGTTCTCCTGGACTTTGGGGGCTCATCTCGAGACTCAAAGCTAGTCGATTGGAGTTCTCGTTTACGGCTGGGCAGCGATCTTGAGGCAGGGCTGCTCCAGATGTCGTTGTCCATCGCTTGCCTGCGGGGCGTGCTCACGGTAGCTGGGTGTCTGTGGGGGTTTCCAGATGGAGTGTTGTGCCGCGCTTCGTCGCCTTCACTGGAGTGTTAGCAAGAGGACCAGGAGCAGTAGCTGTGAATGAAATTGCAGACAACAAGACACAAGCTATATACAATCGGTGACGCAAGCACTTTCGTGGGAAATTCTCTGTAGGGTTAGGTGAAGGAGCAGCGGCAACGAAAGACACTCGGAATTCGTGGCGCACTTGCGAGCAAGTAGCACCTGCGCCAGGGAATGGCAGGGTATTGAATTGGTGAAGAAGATGGAAACCAAGACGGCAGAAGGGCAAGTGGCGGGTGGCGACAGGCTGTGTCAAGACACATCCAAGGCGAACGAGCGACAGGAAGAGGAGAGTTGGTGGAGTACAGCCAACAGCGCGAAGACAAGCACGACGGGTGTGAAGGAGGTTCAGTCGCACAACGGAGAGAAATATCAAGGTGTGAGACGTGCCTGTTGAATTCGGCAGGGCTGGCGAAGAGCCACGGCTTTGTGCAGGGGAACTGGGGTTGGCCTCTGCATTCACGTCAGCGTCAGCCCACAGCGACCTGTTCGCCTGCGTTACGACCAGCTGGCCAGCACCCATGCCTTGTCACGGAGGGGTCCGCGATGTGCACAGGTGCATTCCCGCCAGGGAGGAAGGACTCACGCAGGTGTCGGGAAGCGTCGCCATGCTGGGTTGATGCCTGAGACTGTCTCGGCTTGTTCAAGGCTGCCTTAATGCGCTCAATCTCTTTGATGGCCTCTCTGCGCTCCTCCTCGACCCCATCAAACGTCTGGTCATCAAGCGACCTGAGTATGACGTTCTGAATGGTCAACTCCTCTTCAAGATTCCTCCGGGCCTGGTCCTCGGCCATGGCTGTCGCCATCGCTCGTGCTCCGCCGACGACGGCTGAGCTGTAGGCATCCGTTCTGGGCAGCGAGGCCCGGGGACATGGGTCGTCGTCGGTGTTGATTTGCCAGCTAGCGGAACAAGGCGAGGGGGTTTGATGGTCGCCTGTGGTCGCCTGAGGTCGCCTGAGGTCGCCAGACGGGTCAACCTTGGTCGAGTATGGGCGGGAGGCTTGCTGCGCCGTGCGCGGGCGTCGCTCGACGCTGTGATTTGTCGCCGTAAAGCACACTGAGGCGATGCCTCTCCGCGGTCGTGTCACAGCGCGCTGTCGGGAGGCGACGGAGAGGGGTGTCGTGGTAGTGAGGCTGATCGTCTGGGCCTAATATTTTACTGTGGTCTTGGTGGGGCAGAGTCCTGCGACTAGGCGCTGGCCCACTGCGGATGCCGCACTTTCCCAGCTAAGATAACTTAGCCTGTTGATCTTGGTACCAAGACTCACTTGTGCCGAGGCCGCTTCTTGACGCCCGCAAGTCGTTTGCCACCGTGACAGATATTATCCCAGTCGATGTTAAACTCGGACGGCGACGTATCTGTTTCCACAGTCGTAGTCTCAGGCGATGTGTGCCTGGCTTCAAGATCGTCACCAAGCGGGGTGAGGGATGGGTGGGACGGAAGAGACGGCGGCGTGGTCAACACAGGGCTCGTAGGCCGATTTGAATTCACGGGCAAAGCGGCCTGGCTTGACAAAGTTCAGGTGGGCCTTCAATGACGCGAAAAGTCGCGACGGGAGACGCGTCGTGTCACGCAGAATTGATGAAATTACTCCCGTGCGCCGACCAATGGCGGATCCTTTAAGCCCGAAACCCAGACCGCCTCAGACCACTGAACCGACCGGCAGCTGCGGTCGGTCGGTTTTATGAAAATCCATGGTCGGTCGGTCTGCGGTCTGAAGGTGGTCTGTCAGACGGTCGGTTTGTTAGCCACACTGCCGGGCCGCGGCTACCGGGCGTGGGACTGGGCCGCATTCGTGCTGACGTTGCGGACAAGCTGGCTTGTGGTCCAGCCCCCAAATGGTTTCCGGAGTCGCGAGGCAGGTTGCCTGGGCCGATCTTCAGCCGAGACCGTAGCGCGTTTCACCAGCGCGTCTCCCTAGTCCCTCGACATCGTCGCAACTTATTTATTTATTTATTTAGTTATTAGTTATTGTATTTTCCGTCCAGCGGCCGTGAGGCCGCTCAGGTCCCTTTTGGGCACAGGACGTGCTGGGCTAGTGGGTCTGTCCTACATTATCGATACAGGATCTAGTGGGTCTCTCAGAGATTACCTCCTCGCATCCCTCCCGTTCCCATCACGAAAAGTAAACAAACCACCATCCAGCATTTCATCGGCTCAGAGG